GACTCAACATTTCCAAAATATGTATAATTTTTTGGTAATAATCCGTATAAACTATGCTATAAACAAAAAATTGTACGATTACTTACCGAGTGTGCACCGCCATTGCTAATGCGTGTTTTCGTTGCGGAAGGACGCTCCGCGACGAAAACAAGCATTAGCAGCATCATCATCATCATCATCATCATTATTTATTAACATGTTTAGTACACATAACCTGGTTCCGCTGCAGCACTACCAGGTGTAAGTAACAAAATCAATATAAACAACAATATTACATCACATTTAACTTATTATGACATTAATTCAGGGTTATTATAATTTGTATTATTAACAATTATAAATTATTATTCAGTAGTTAAGTATTAATTATTATCTAGTAATTATTAAAATTAATTTGGAAGTACAGAAGTTCACAATGTTACATATTACATAAATTAATAATGCTACAATACAATTTATATTACCAACAAGTATCAACAAAAATATGCTTTCATCAAATATATTGTCAATTATACGCGTAACAACATATATCAGGTCTATAGTTAATGGACTTAAAGAAAAAATATCAACAATTTACTCATTAATTATTTCCAGAACGTACAACTATATTCAACACATATTTTAAGTTGACGCCTTATACTTCCAAGTATTAAACATATTTATCCGTTAAACTTAAATTGATATACAGTGTTTGATAGTAAGCAATACATTCCGAATACATTAACAGCATTATTATACTAAGTAGCATATTCGTCATCAATAAATATACCTTTACATATATTTAGCATTAATTACCTATATTAAAGTATATTCAATAACAATTTGCATATACAGTCGACCTCCCTATAACACTGTTGATAATTTCGTTTTATATGAATTCCATGTTGTACGAGTTACTTAGATTTTTCAAATACCTGTGCCGGGCTGTGAACGGCTCACATATTTGTAAAATCTAAGTGACTCGTACAACATGGAATTCATATAAAACGAAATTATCAACACTGTTATACAGGGTCGACTGTATTTAATTGGGAAAATTATCGTAGACTATTTTTATTGTTTTAAATTGTTATAAAAAATATTATGTATTATATTTGTCATTTGACCATTTGCATAACAATATAATATAATAACAACGTACTTACATAATACTTTTAAATATTATAACGACAGGATGTTCTACAATATAAATTCGGTAATGACTTCAAAATTTACTACGTTTTATAAAAACAATTTATTACTTAAATTTATTTTAGACATAGAACAGTTCTCAAACTGTAATTGCCATTATCTTTTCGGTTGACTCAGAAAACCTAGAAACGCCGAAAAATGCAAAAAATTTCGGGGATTTTTTTCTGTATATATGGATGTTAGTGTGCGCGGAGGACACGATTTTGTTCACCCTGTTTGAAGCTTAATAATTCCTGTGCTCTTTGTCAAAAATTTCTGAAATTTTATAGGGAGGTTTATGTATTCGGGGATCGATGGTATTAAATTTTGGTGATTAAAGGTCGAGGGAGTGGAGAGATGAAAGAGTCGTATGTATCTCTAATAGGATCGGACTTAATGACGATTTTACTCGTTATTAGCACTTAAATTTTTTTTAATAAAACCAATTTCTACCCTTAAAATTAAGCGTTTTAAAATTTTATAATATTTTATTAAAAAACATTTTATATTTTTAACTATCATAACGGATGGCGCCATCAAATGTTGCCGGGAAACTTAAGCAACCTGTTGCTGTATTTTTATTATTATCGTTTTTAATTCTTTTCCCTGTTGACAATAAGCGAGTCTTGTTTTTGATGCTCATCGCGCACATATTCAGTGTACTGAAAGCCTATTTCCATTACGTAATTCAGAATTTAAGGAGACATTTTCATATAGAAAACAAAAATATTTTAATAACATTTCGTTTATTTAATAGTAACTCTCACTTAACCAGAAACTACATTAATACTACATCTAACAATCACCATGGGTGCGGATTAACTGAGAGTCTGTTGTATAATTTAAGATAGTCTACTATATAAATACATTATCATTACTTATCCAGTGCTCTTTATTGTGGCACGCTAACGGCCACGACTAAATAGAAGCACATTTTCCATAGAAGTCTCCCGGAACAGCCAGAAGAAAACTTGATAAACCAATTACTGTAAGGTCTCGTTTTATGCGGTGATACGTTCTACAGAAAAGCGCATATAAAAAATTCGCATAAAAAAAGTCTTTACTTGCCTTGAAAAAGTAGTGATACGTTCCGTAATTTTCTAAAATCGCATAAAACCAAAACAACGAGTTAAAATTAACTTAAAACCGCATAAAAAGTTTGCAGAAATTAAAAGAAATAGGCTGCTTAATAAACTACTTCGAATGTCTGAAAGAAATTCATATAAAAGCTTAAAATAAACTTGTATTCAAACTTAATTCAGTTTATTTTATTGAAAAGTAATACAAGGGGAATCCCCGAATTGCAAAAGCTCACTCTAAAAACAAATCACTGACATCTGGATGTGAAGAGTTAATTAAAACCC